CTACAGGTGGGCTTCTAGTCTGAAGAATTTACAAGACAAAAGAAAATATCGAATAGTATTTTCATAAATTAGGTAAAGAAAGTGAAATATCTTGCAACTGGAGGCGCGACCCAGATAAACGAGAACCATCATGTAACATTTGGCCAAAATTTTGAAGAAACAATCAATGCCGAAGGAGTTTCGACTTCACTAAAAAAGGTGAGATCACAAGTGATTCTTCAGATAACAAATAACCCATTAACATGTTCTGTGGATATGTTAGAACAAAGTGATCACCGAAAATCAAGAAATCACCGATGACACTGTTCACAAGAAATCAAATAATGAGGATGAATCTAATGAATCGGGAGAGATCGAGGCAGAACCAATTGATGTGGGAAAAAATTATGAAGAGATCAGGAGTCTTACAGAGGTATTTTGGCATTTATTATATTTATGCATAATATTTTTGCTCACTCATATTTAATCTTTCAGGATGAAAGGAACATTCGTGACAAATTACTTGTAGTTTTAACTGAACAACAAGAAAGAGATACACAATCTGGAAAAGACTATTTGTCATCAACATACCTCAACGGAATCATAGATTTCTCTGACGATGAGACGCGCAAGAGAATTAAAAAATTTTTGAATAAAGATCAAATTACATGGCTTGAAGAAAAATTTCGGAAAAAAACTTGGGATCCGACCTCCGAATATACACAATATATCAACCAGTTTATTGAAGATGTATGTGACAGAGTCCAGATCCCAATTCTCGTTCGTAAGTCCTTTGTTCCAGAGAACACATTTAATTCATACCGTCATGAAGCACACGATATTGCCCAGCAAATATTGACGCATTTGTAAGTATTTTTTATGTCAATAAAATTTTCACACTATTACTTAACTTTCTATGAATAGCTCCGTCCGCCTGGAAGCACCTATAAGAGTTGAATCCAATAACCTCAACCTTGAAAGAACATACGCAATAGACACCACTGTGTACATTTTAAATCGATTGTTCAGAATGCATCAGGATGTATTGGATGTCAGATGGTAAAGGTTAATTATAAATTTCGAAATATATAACAATCCTGCCTGTTAATTTTTTATTTATTCCACTTAGGATCGAGCTGACTACTCCTGACACGAAAAAACACAAAATTGATGGAATTCTAAAGGTGATCAAAGCAACAGAAAAAGATCAAGTCTTAGTCATTGTTGAGTTTTCATTCGGTAGGAGGGCACCTTTAACGAAAGAAGATGGTGATCAGGTCAAACTATGTCGAAATTCAATGCGAATTTTGAATAAGATATTACAAGGTGTACCTAAGGACAAAGCACGTGTTTATATGATACAAACTGTTAGTAAGTATTGTATTTAGAAGCAAAGTATAGGAAATTTGATTACTCATGTATTACATTATATTTTTTCCATAGATGGTCACATAATCATCAAATACCTAGTTCGTCCCTTACCATCGATATATATTCTTCAACAATTCACACGTATAAAAATACCTGTTTCCTTTGACGACTTCGAACAGTTTGCAAAAGATATGATGGACTTGATGAGTTGGCAGGAAAGGATCGAGGATAAATACTCATGAAATTTTTATTGAATATTAATAGTAACTGGCTTTTTCTATTTACAGGCTGATGTCTTGTCAACAATTAAAGCAATAAATAAATCCATAACTAAAGATAAACATATTCATACAACATCAGTGCAGGATACACCAAAGAAAGCGGGAAAAGAAAATCAAACATTACCTTCATCTCCTAAATCTCCATGTCCCGGTGGATCACCCTCAGAATTACCATCATTGATTTAGAAGATATGAACTAAGTTCTTTTTTACACTATATCTTATATTCTTTTCTTCATATAATATTGATTTGTTATAGGAACAATCAAAATATATTTCTTTCTGTATATATAATATTAACTATTTCAGCTAATGTATGCAATATAGCGATTTTATACTACACCTTAAAGTAATTATTTTATCGCAAAAATGATTGGTGTTACAAGTTTATAAGTGTAATGCATGTGGGGTATAGCATCTTCTGTATTTACAATTTCGCATCATCAATATGTATTTGTTAGTTTGCCCACATTAGGCTTAAAATAATTTACGCCGTGTATATATCATCTTTTTTAACGAATTTTTGGCGACGGCCATGGTTGAAATCTCAATCACACGAGAGGATATTACGATCTAGAAGTCTAGCACTATTTTTATAGGCAGAAATTAAGTAAGCATTTATTGTTTCGCTCACATCGGGCCTTTATTTTTAGCTTGTATCGGAAAAATAGAAAATATTTACCATCACACAATCCGGATATTACGAGTCTCGACTCAATAAAGTTTTAATCATGTGGTAATCGCAGTTCAATCACGGCCCATCACGGGCTACATCAAGGTTGATTAGGCACCTTGTACCTGCGAAGTAAACTGTTGATTCTCAAACATGTCGTCAGAGTTAGAATTATTGAAACAGCGAATCATTGCTCTTGAGGCTGAGAATGCTGAGCTTAAGCACGAAAACTCAAAACTAAAACAGATTTTAATAATCAACTATTTTTCTTTTAGATTTGTTGCGTGCCCGACGTGGATTGAAGGCTGAGGACCCATTACCGGATAGGATATAATTTGATACGTGTATAGTGAAAATAATTAGCAGTTTTAAAATGTAAATATATCAGATAATCATTGGTTAAATAAAGATTTTCGTGTAAATATATGAAATCGGGGGTTTTATTGCTGGCATGTTCCATGAGACTGACATTTCTCCGAAATACTTCTATGCTGATCTCCGATTCATGGATTTAGGCTCGAAGAGCCATTTCTTTGAAATAAAACACATGACATCGCCCATTATAACGTGATGTAATTTCGCAGTTACGATCGATGTGGTTATAATTATTTTTCAGATCGAATATGCTATATTCACTTAATGCGTTATTTTTTTCTGCATTAATTATATTACCATATTATAACAATCATGACGAGTAATACTAATAATAATACTGATCAAAGCGAAACATTTGCCCCTTTTTATGAAGTGCTTTTATATAAAAAGAAGGATATAATAGCAATTCAAGAAAAACTGGGTATTAATAGTAATACATTAAAGCAAATAGAACACGAGCCCGATGGAAAAACACTTGATGATTTATATGAATTGTTGTTAAAATTGGTGGGGAATTTAATACCTATACAGGGGAAACTTGGTATAGATATCAATCCCATTTTAGAAGTGGAACTTAGAAGGGATAAAGCTTCTTCAGATAAACCAATTAGATTATTTGATTTGCTTTTATCTTTAGAAGATGATATAGTGGTAATTCAGGATAAACTCGGTATTATTGGTTATTCTAATCAAGAAAGGGCAGAAGAAGTTGATGAGAATGTAAGAGCACAACTACAAAAGCTTAAGAAATTTCACGGTCCATTAGAAAATGATTCAGGTGTGATTTTACCGAAATATGGTGAAATGGGGGTAAAGAAAATTCGGTTTACTGGAGAGGAACTTCCTCTATTTCCAAATCTTACTCCTCAACAATTGTATGAAATTTTCGTAAAAAATTCAGCTAGCAACAATCAGTGCCCATGTCTAGAATCAAAAGTAGGTTCAGAGAAGAGACAGAGTCTCGAATCTTCGATTCACCATTGCTTGCAATAAAGAAGGGAAAATTATCACAGATATATATACGTCACAGCAAATAAAAATTCTTTGTTTGAAATTAGCTGGAGGATGTCAAATACCCGATTACCCGCTCTATTCTTCGACATTAAGTAAAATTATTTGTAAACCATAAATGATTAGGATTAATTTCGCAAGATAAAATTCTCATAGTGACGCTTTATTATAATGAATATATTTAATATTTACAATGACCAAAGCTGACATCAAGTCTGTTATAAATGAAGCAATGTTAAAGTAACAGAGTGTAATTGATTCAGGTTCAGAATGTCCAATTATTACTTATGAGGTTGCGGAAAAATTGGGTTTTGAAAAAGATAAAAGTTTATCCAATATTACTGATAAAGCGGTATCTGATATTGTTAAGCAAGTATCGGGTAAAAAAATCTGGATCTCTCTTTACCGATTACTGGAGATAGTAAAACCCGAGGTTCAGCAAGATATTATAAACTCGATAACAAACTCGGGTATTCCTCGAAGAAATTATACACCATACAAAGCTAAAAGAAAAAAGAAAATTTTAAACAATACAGCATCTTCATCCGAATCCTCGTCTTTATCTGAATCATTATCTGGGTCTGGGTCCGACTCTGAATCGTCTAATGATGATGAAGATTTTACTGTAGATGTGGTAAAAGTGAAGAAGCGTGATTAGTTATCATCATAAAGCCGGAAGGGTCTCGCTTCTTCAGAAGGTATTCCATGAAGCCTTAATCCAAATTTGAAAATAAGTTAATGATATACAGTAAACATTGAAATGGAGGTTTGGTTACCTATAGCAAATTCGAATTATTTTATTTCTAATCACGGCCATATCAAGAATAAAAAAGGTATAATTTTAAAAGGATCTATCCATAGAGGAGGTTATATTAGAGCAGACCTTATTATCAATAAGACCCGTGCTCAATCTTATAATCATAGACTAGTCGCAGAAGCATTTATTTTGAATTCGGAAAATAAACCTTTTGTTAATCACATCAATGGTATCAAAACCGACAATCGAGTAGATAATCTGGAATGGGTAACTTCTAAAGAAAATGCTAATCGTAAAGTATTTCCAAATCCTGGACGGTATAGGTCTCGAAAAGTTGTACAAATAGGATTAGATGGTAGTGTTATTCAGATTTGGGATTCACTTTCTCTTGCACAAGATACACTTAAAATTTATAAAAGTACTATTTCCTTGTGTTGCAGTGGAAAACAAAATTCTGCTGGAGGATGGTGTTGGAAGTATTATGAAGACTATATAGAATCTGATCCCAATGAGGAGTGGAAAGAAATAGAATTCGATTCAGAAAAATTTAAAGTATCATCCCTAGGTAGAGTTCAAACAGTAAATGGTATGATTACGCAAGGAAATTTACAGGCGGGATATTTCCGAATTAGTAGAGGAATTAAAAATTATTCTATACACCGTTTAGTAGCACTAGCTTTTTGTCCAAAAGAACAAGGAAAAGATTATATAAACCATATTGATGGAAATTCCACTAATAATAAAGCTTTAAATCTTGAATGGTGCACACAAAAAGAAAATATGCAACACGCTGTACGCATTGGACTTTGTAATAATAACTTCAATAAACGGATCGTTAAACAGATTTTTGCTGATGGTACTACTCAAGAATTTCAATCTATAGCTAAAGCACAAGAAATAACTGGAATTCATAAGTCAAACATCGGGAAGGTATGTCGAGGACTCCAAACTCATGCTGAAGGGTATCGTTGGGAATATGCAGATACAAAAATACACAATAAAGATTGATTTGTTTAATTATAAAATTACAAATCTGTATCATATAATCGAAAAGGTCTTGCTTGATCTGGAGATTGTCCTTTTTTTCTATAATTTACAACAACGTAGTTTTGTACTGGAGAAGTGTGGTTGTCGAATGAATGTCAAAGTGCTTCCCCAGCGATTGTATAGGCATGAGCTAAATTCTCTGCCCCATGCACTATCACAGCATAAACGGCACCCATTTTTCGTAAGAATTTGGGCATTAAACCATATTCTTTTAAGAACCTATTGAACCATTTAACTCCAGGTTTACCTGGATTACCAATTCAACCAGAAGATATAGAATTCTGTATCCAGGTTAGTAATTCTTTGGCTCGTTCTTGATTCTTTTCCATAGATCTAAATTTTCGAGGAATATCTGCCTGACCTCTGTTCTTCGCATAACCCGTTACTCCCGAGTCTGTAATACGTAAAGTTATAAGTTCAGCAGGGCGAATACAAAGCATCACCATAACATCAGCAAGAGCCAAATAATCGGGTGGAGTTTTTAAATCATATGCATCCAATTTTTCTTTGACCGATTCTAATGTAAATTCATCTGGATAATCAATACGATTGGTTTCAGCCTTTTTCTGATTGTCCCTCTGGATTTTGTTAGCTTCTTCTATAAAATCAGGAAATTTCGTGGCCTCGACTATTGCAGGTAAAGCACCAAGGCTTCTTAATTCTCTTCTGAGTCGGAAAGACGTGATGAACCAGCATTAGCATTTTTTGCTGATAGGGCTAAGGCATAAGCTTCAGCTCTTATATCCCGAATACTAAGTTTATCCCGTAAAAGCCGATGCGCCATCTCTCCAATCGTTTCTCATGTGGCCCGATTGGAAATAACAATGTTTACTGTGGAACAGGGCACTTTGTGCATAGTTTTGCTTTTTGGTTGAACATTTTTTTGAATAGAGAGGTGACATAAGTCACTTTGCAAATCAAATAAGTTATCAACTTGACCCTCACTAAACCCATATCTATTTTGCAAAATTTATTTTGCTTTCTCTCTGATAATCTCTATTTCCGAATTTTTTGAAGGCTTGGTTACAACTATTCTACAACTACCTTCAACTAAATTTATTATTTTATTTTTCCCATCTCTCTGATTAGGTATCAATACACTTACCTGATCATCGCTAAATTTGAATCCTTCTCAAAGACGCCTTCGTGCCTGATTTCTTTTTCTATCATCAGTAAGATTTTCGAGAAACTCTGAGGTGTATCGACTGAGATCAGCCACACTCATTTCGGGGCTGAGATTGTATTTTTCTACAATTTTGGTTGTGATGGCTGACATGTTTGAATGTTATAGTAGGTTGGGTAGGTTATGGACAGTTCTTTAGGT